ATGGGCTATAGTACAATTTTTCAGATTTTTGGTGCTTTCTTTAAATGGCCATAACTCAAAAAATTGAAGTCGGAATCACCTCACATCTGCTACACAGCATAAGAACATCAATATGTATCAGAAAATGCAATAAAAATATTTGTTGTGTGTATTAATCATTACTTCAGTGTTCTCATGCTCAATGATGTCGCTGAGAACATGAAGTGGAACTGGTAGAAGTGAGACACACTGCTGCTTACCTGAGGACAGAAATATTCATGAGTTAAGACATACAAAATATAACTCAACAATAAAAAATAATAATGATAGTTCACTAAAGCGACATGTGTACTCCTCCCATCTTCTGACCAAACTTAATTAGTGAATATAACTTCAATCAAAATGATTTTGTCCCCAGCCCCAGATACATGTACATTACTAATCACTTGAAAAGAAAAAATTATACAACCGATGCTTCTATTAAAACTGATGCTTCTATTAAAACTGATGCTTCTACTAAAACTGATGCTTCTACTAATGCATAAACTCTACCAATATAAGTTAGGCGAGTTTCCCCCCTCTCTCTCTCACCCTCCTTCCTAAGACAAAGGTTCATGAAAAGAGCAAGTGAATATCTCAGAACATAGTCAGACATCTTGTCAACGTCACTCAACTGCTCCACCGTCCATTTTATTAACCCAATGGATATCATGTGAGACTGGAGTGGACGCCTAGTAATAATAATAATAATAATAATAATAATAATAATAATAATAATAATAATAATAAATAATAAATAATAATAATAGTAATAAATAATAATACACTGATATGTACATGTATAAATCAATTACATAATCCTGACCTATGCTAAACCTCTGCAATACAGTATCATACAGAAATGTACATGTACATGTATTTATATGTACCTGTACTCAGAGCCGCCAATAGGCTATAAGGGGCCCAGGGCAAAAACTTTGAAGGGGTCCTACTAATACAAATCGCCCCCTTACTAATAACAGTGATTAACAAAATGGCCCAGCAAGAGTTAACTTAAAAGAGTTGTCATGATTCTTTGATCTTTTTCTGTAAAAAAAACTATACATACTTTACTACTGACCAGGGCCTTGGGGGGCCCCCCTTTGATTGGGGGCCCGGGGCGAAATGCCCCACCTGCCGCCCCCCCTGCCGCCCCCCCTATTGGCAGCCCTGCCTGTACTGTGTATCTGTATAGTACCTTAGGCTTAGTTTTTGTACGGTTCCCAATAAGTTCTTTAAAAGATGGTCGTCCTCTTTGAGTGACATTAGTAACACACAGAGAGAATGAACAAAGTGTTGACTGTACTGGAGGTAGTCCCTCCCTTGTCTCAAAGAAGAGAAACTGTTCAATAATCGGCAGAAACTCTCCTTTACCCTCAGATCTGATGATAATAATGTCTACCAAAGACGAGGGAGAGAGAAAAAGAGAGAGGAGAAATTAAAAGATAAAGAATTTAACAATAATTAAGAGGATGGACAATAATAGCTATACATGTACATGCACGTACTGCAGTGAAGTTGAGGTCCGTCCTAAGTGAAAGTAGATCGTGTTGTAAGTATTCTTTGATGACAGCCTCTCTCTGTGGGCCAGGGACTGAATGGGTGAGCCTCTGGAAGAGAACAATTGAGAATTCTCTACTTTTTTCATTTTTTATCATAATTAAGCCAAAATCCCTGTACTATAGTACAGGGACTTTTATCCGATTTTGAGCAACTTTAAAAATTCGTAAAAAATACAATTTTGATCAGAATCAGCTCAAACTTTCTACACAACATAAAAACAATAAAATTCAGGGAATTATCTCTAAAATATTCTCTCTATTAATAATAAAGTGGTAGGCCTACCCATCTCAGTGCCTGCAATAAAGCACATCTATTAACACTAGGAAGTGATAGGAGATCAACTTTAACTTGTCCGTAATTCAATGAAGAATATCTCTCAGGAATGCTAGGAGGAACTCCAGCTGGAAACAACGGAGTCTGCATACTACAAAAAAGATAATTAATGGGCGGGGTCAGACATGCCCACCTCTGTCTCAAGGAGACAACAGACGCCCGCAAATTAGATACGGGTTGGTTTTCGGGATTTGTGGGAGGAACTTGAAAAGGACCCGAGAGTTGGAACAATCGCGAACACATATCCTCAATGTAATCAGTACTGAGCTAAAGAGAGAGAGAAGAGCAAGAAATTAAAGACCACGTCCCATAAATGATTTTATATTACTGTATTTCCTGATATAGAACTCTCTAGTGCTTCGACTAATTCAATTGCAATGCTGGCAACTGCTTCATAGCTCGACTGTAATTCTTCTAATCTTTTCTTTAATACGATAACATCAGAACCAGCCGATCCCTAATCCAATAACACATGACAATGGAGTAACGACAGATGTGAGGAGAAATTGATGTACATGTATATACATGTACATGCACATGTGGTAGGTACATGTACATGTACATAATACAGGTAGTTATACATAGTTTAAAGTTAATTCAATAATAATTCATTAATTTAATAATTCATCATGTACGTGTAGTAGTAATGTCCTACTTGTTGCTGCTGTTTAAAGAGATCAAGAAGAGAAGGGCGGGGCTTGGTAGGCGTGGCATGTCCTAGGAGAGAAAAGTCAAGAAAATGCTCCAACCGAGAACGTAACTCTTTATTCCAAGACTCCTGGATAGAGAGAGAGAGAGGAGGGGAGAGAGAGAGAGGAGGGGAGAGAGAGAGGAGGGGAGAGAGAGAGGAGGGAAGAGAGAGAGGAGGGGAGAGAGAGAGAGAAGGGGAGAGAGAGAGGAGGGGAGAGAGAGAAGAGGGGAGAGAAAAGAGATCTTTATCTAGAAATTAAAGTCACACTAGCGTACAGTGAAGAGGTGTTGAAATGAGGAGTGGGTTGAGGGGTCAGGAATGTAAGGGAGGGCACAATAAACCGTGAGGTCAGGAGCTTGAGCCAATAGATCACCTCTCGAGTTGAGATAAGACTGGAAATACCTCAGGGCACCTTGTCTGTCTCCTACCTAACAGGACGATAATCACATGACAGATAGTCACATGAGCATTGATTAAAGTATCATAAAGTACTCCAGCTATTAATAACTGCTCACCTCGTATCTGAAAGGATATATTGTAAAGTAAAGGGAGAGATAGAACTCCAGGTTCTGGTAGGCGTGGTCACTTCCATATATGGCGATGGGTACGGCCTGTTGCCATAGTTCAAAGAAAGCGTCACGCTCACCACATTCAAACGAGACCAACATGTCTGACTAGAGAGAAAGAAACTTCATGATATACAGCAAATTAGAAAAAAATAAAACAATACATATACATAAACCTATTTTGAGAGAGGCATCTCAAATTTTAATGGTACGTGTATTTAATTTTGTAGATTATAAAATTGAACATTTATATAATATTATGTGATTATTTTGTGATCAATACTTGTATCTGTAGTCTAGTTTCCTGTTTTTCGTCATCATTGTTAGTCCAGGACGAGGAGTGGTGGGGCAGTAAAGGTAAGTCTCTTCCCTTTTGACGAGACTCGTCTAGGAATGATTGTAAAGTTGAGTTGAGTCCTTGCTCTCTGAGATACTACAAACAGAAATAAATGAAGAAAGAGGAAGAACTTACTTCAGAGACAAGAGTGTCTAGTTGTTGGCGGGACATTACTACTTGTAATTATTAACCCTTTGATCACTCATTTTTTATTTTCAGTATTAATTAATTTTATTAATTAATTCAATTAATTAGGTGATGAAGATTATAAATGTAATGAACAAAAATTATATTTTCATCTTTTCTCTCTCCCTCTCTCTCTTTATCTACATGTTATGTTAGTGACGCTTTCGAACACTTTTACTATTAGTAGAACTATCTTTTCCTGGTCCATTATCTACTGTTGGTTCAACCTTTTTCTCATTTGTCAACTCTTTGTCATTTCCTTTTGGCTTTTTGCCATCATCATTATCATCATCATCTTGTGCAAGAATCTCTTCTTGCTTCTTCTCTTTACTTTGTTCAGGAAACTGGTTTCCTTCTTGCTGGCCTCCTTCAATTTGATGTCTTTCCAGCTGGCCAACTTTTTGCAACTGGCCTCCTTGCTGCTGATCTCCTTGTTGTTCATCTCTTTGCTGTTCATCTCTTTGCTGCTGATCTCTTTGCTGCTGATCCCCTTGCTGCTGATCTCCTTGCTGTTCATCTCCTTGCTGTTCATCTCTTTGCTGCTGATCTCTTTGCTGCTGATCCCCTTGCTGCTGATCTCCTTGCTGTTCATCTCCTTGCTGTTCATCTCTTTGCTGCTGATCTCTTTGCTGTTGTGAGTGATGTGATTCTTGAGTTCTTTGTCCGTAGTTTTGTTGCAGCTGCTGATTTCCTCCTTGAGGCCTAGTGTCATTAAAGTAATAAAGATAGCAGGAGAGAATGAAGAGGGGAAATGGGAGGAGGAATATCGCCATAGTCTTCTCCCTAAACGTAGGGAATGTACAAAAAATTAAAAAATAACATTAATTTTGTGTGCATTAAATTTTAAATTCACTAAATTTTGCAAATGGCGGATGGCTCAGCAAAATTTAATACACCATGAAAACCGTTTATGGTCTATTAAATATTTATGTTAATATTTATAAGTTTGTTTATTTTGCTAATGTACAACACATACCACACTCTTGGTAATGCGTCAATTAATTGACTCCAAAAGGTGATACTCTCGTCTTCCACTGGGTCTAGGACCATTAGCTTGTTCAAGGTCCTGTCCCCAAGTGATAAAATCTCCTCCAGTTCCTTATTGTCCTCTCCACAGTAATTATGAAATAGTTTATAGTGAGCCTTGTCAGCTTTCTCCCTGTGGAGGACTAGAATCTGCAGCACAAGAAAAGAAGCAACAGTCAAATAAGTTTTTGCTTGTCACGGATTTCGTGACAATGGAACTAATGGGTTTTTGCTTGTCACGGATTTTGTGACAATGGAACTAATGGGTTCTTTGCTTGTCACAAAATCTGTGACAAGCAAAAAACCCATTTGTTCCATTTTAAATATTAATTATTATAATATTATCATTATAATATCATTCACTAACAGTTCTGGATGAGTATCCATTGTTACATTTCTTTAAAGAAGACTCGACTGACGAAGAAAATTTGTTTGACAAACTGGTTTGCCTGTTGATATCAAAGTACCCCATACTAACATCCTTATCCTTCCATTCGTATGCCAGCTGTCTGAAGGAGTTAGTAAGAGGATCAGTGTATTGGGACACTCCATTTGCTACTAATAATAGACACAATCTAAAAATAGAACAGTTGAGTCAAACACATGATGATGGTTTATCGTATCAAGAGTGAATGATAAATCATGTACTATAAGTACAGGGACTTTTGATCAGTTTTGGAGCAACTTTAAAAAGTCATAAAAAATCCAATTTTGATTGGACTCAGCTCAAACTGGAAACACAACATAAGAACATGTATATGTATCAGGGAATGTTATAAAAATTGAGAATTTTCTACTTTTCATTTTTGGCAAAATTTGGCCCGAGGCCATGTACTATAGTACAGGGACTTTTATCCGATTTTGGAGCAACTTTAAAAATTCGTAAAAAATCCAATTTTGATTGGAATCAGCTCAAATTTGAAACACAACATAAAAACATGTATATGTATCAGGGAATAGTATAAAAATGAAGAATTCTCTCCTAACCATTTTTTGATGACATACCCTTCAGTACTATACAGCCCATTGTAAGTGTATGAACAATGTGTTACATATAGAAGCATTGAATGAGGTTTAATGTTAGCAATAGAAGTACAGCTGGATTACCTTGCATGAGGTCCAAAAGGACATATTGTATCAAAGAAGAGAGGAGAAGAGACCCTTGGTAACAATAGCAACTTGTTCTCATCAATAGCAGCTGTAACTGCTCCTTTTGAATCTATTGACTGTGTGAATGTACAAAGCATATAATTGAATGTTAGTTGACATTATAGAAAAGACATTATTCATTGAGCTATTGTTAATCTTGATGTAAGCTTACATTGAGTATAAAGTGAGGCTGCTCTGATATATCTTTATAAATGAATAGTGCTCTCCCGTCTCTCTCGATCCTCAAATCGTCCAAGAGTTCTTGTGAAGACCGAGATGACGAAAGGAAATAGAAATCGCAGAAAGACTGAAGCTTAAGTGCAATGAGTTTATAACTGAGTGAGGGACTAGGGTGAACTGAGGCCAGCAAGACAACTGGTTTATTGTTAGTGATACGAGAGACATTACCACCGTAAAGAAAATCAGAAGACACAACCTGAAAACACAATGCATTACTTGAAATTGAATTATTATTAGATTATTTAAAATATTGATACAGGATACATAGTTTCCACATAACTACACCATAAGCTACATAAACTACCTACACCTGCATACCTCATTAACTTTCACCCTAACCAGTGGATTCACAAATTCCTTCACGTCCTCCATGTTGATACCTGCCCCAGTATAAAGGTGAACCTCTTCGTCCACTAACAGGCCAAGAGCGGGTACTTTATTCAGCTGCACCCTCGAGAACTGAGTTGCTTGAGTACTAATGATAACTTGAATGCTAGCGGTACCAAGACCAAGCCTTAAAAAATCCTACAAAAATATTATAATTTTTTGGAGGAATATATTTTGTTGTTTCATTACCGTACGAAGCTCCTCCCATTTTTCCGTCCACGACAAACAGGCGGGGCAAAAGTCGTGATAATAATAAATGAGATAAGGACGTTTCTTCGAATATGATTTGAGGTGATTCATAAACTGCATACTGCTGACACTGTCTGTCGGAGTCAAGTAATTACGAGTGTCTGGTTTATTGGAGGGCGGGGCATCATCAGACTCCTCCCCTAAGATATCGTACCGACGTCTTTTGTCATCATTATGCAATATCTAAGTAAAGAAACACAAAATGTTTTGATAATTATTATTAAAGTCCAACCTTGTAGGCCCAGTTGATTCTTGCCATTTTATCGGAAGCTTCAGGGCTCCTATTTTTATCTGGATGCCTATTTAAAAAGAGAGGAGGGAGAATACAATGTTGTTCTCTCCCCTTTCTCACCATTTTCTGGCAAGTTTAGAATAAGCTTTCTTTATTTGTAGTTTATCAGCAGTTATTGAGACACCCAACACCTCGTAGGGTGTTTCTTTCTCTCCGAGAGAGAGGGAGAGAAGGAGAGAGACTAGTAGCAAAGAAAGCAGCAACATTAAGCAAGTCCTCATGCTTCGCTCCAATCAAGTTATGTGGAATAGGTGGAGCTAATTATTTTGGATTCTGCAAAAGGGCGTGGCTCATTTTAATTGACACCTCATTAGATATTCATAGAACATGGAGGCTATAACTGGTCGTTTTTATTCACTTTTAGACTGGATAAAGAAGCAAGTCCCTCACCTGGTAATAGATTCCTTACACGTACATTAAAAACTAATGTTCACTTTATTGCAGGATTATGAAGGACAAAGACTAGCGGAAAAAATCTATCATTATGTTATTATTCTCTTTAGTGTAAGATAATATATTGCATTAAAATTTTGTTGGGTTACTCGGATATGAATTTTTCTGGGAAATTGTTCAGTTCCTTTTCAATATAAAGTATCAATAATGTAAATTATTAAATTTAATTGCAGTTTATCTTTATCTCTCTTAACTCTCTCTCTCTCGTCTCCAGGTGGTTGGTTTGATCTGGGGATACATAATCCAACAGTTTGATCAAACGGTATACATTATACTGGCTGGATTTGTTTTGGCAGCAATAGTGAGCGAGAGAGAATTGTAAAAGACTCAACTTGTACGAATTTCATTTTTAGCTAGTTTTGGCTCCGTGGCCTTGGTACAGGCGTCATCCATTGCCATGGCAACAGAGTGACACACCCTCCTCAAGCAAAACGAAGACGAGTGGTAAAAAAGGTCGCAAGAAATGAACAATCACGTGACATTAGTATTGACAGGTTTCGAATGAGATCTGTTTGTGATTTATAACTATTAATAATTCATCAAAATCATTATTAATAATCTCTTGACGTCATAAAAGTATTATTTTGATTGATGGGTGTGGTCAGTATGAGTGGGTGGGGGAAGATGTCGTAGTACTTGTGAAACAATCTCATCGACACTAGCCATTGCACCGATACCTAGAGGAAACAGCTGCTAACAAGAGCCAAAATCATCATTATTATTCATTACCAGTGTCCCCACAGGCTAATGTCTTGACTACAGGTGGTACTTGAATGTATTTCAAATCCTGTAGAACTGTGAGATGCCTTGAAGTAATGGGGTTCTCCCACATCAGTGTGTTCATTGCAGGACAATAGAGGAGGGGTCTATTGGAGTCCCACGCCCTCAACACACAGGTCTAATTAATTAATGAAGGAGAGAATACGTCATGATGACAATCATTGTTTACATAAGGACGTGGCTGTTAACCACAGAGTCAGACAACCCATGAGACCTTTTACAATTACCAGCCTATAAAACCTGGGAAGCTATATATCCATTATCAAAGCAAAAAAAAAGCAAAAGTACATCCTAAAGTATAAAAAATTTTTTGGATGGGGTTTAAATAAAAACCCCTCTACTGATTTTAAAATTTAAACATGAATATTAATTATCAATGCATTATAATTTTTAATTTAGATAGCCATTGCCATTTGAAAGCAGCAATGTTAATCCAGCACTAGTAACCACAAATGTTCCTAGCAACATGTTGCCTAGTACCTACCAGTAGATTATCACAGAGCCCATTTGCAATCTTTCCCATTGTATTAGCACTCAAGGGAGCTATGACCATGAGCTCTGCCCACTTCCTTAACTATCAGTACATGATAAAAATCATGGAAGTCATGATGGGTTAGTGTGCTCATTCATACTTCTATATGTAGTACAGGATCACCTTGTTTCCATATCTACTGAAAAAAAAGATAAATAAGTTCAATCTTTTAGTTTATACATTGAGCAGTTTGCAGTAGAGCTACAGATGCACTACACGTACCCACTCATCTTTATCAGTGTACACTTGAACTGGTAAACTGCTGTGATCAAAGAAATGAAGAGAGGAATCAGTAGCAATCACTTTAATATCTATCTGGAGAGAGAAAAGAGACACAGTATGATCTCAAATAATGCATGAGACATACCTCAAAAGATTTCAGTCTCTCTACTATTTCAGGAACTTTGACAGCAGCTACACTTCCCGATACACCTAACAGAACTTTATGGTGAGAAGACATTTATAGGCGTGGCTCATTAAATACTGGGTAGGCGTGGCTTCATTAAATTAAAAATGTCTGTTCTTGCTGCAGGAGCTATTGCAGGCGGAGCTGGTAAAGCTGCTCTGCTGGAGAAATCTAACATGCTAGACGAGGTAAAGAGAGTGAGGAGCTTCTTCTTAGGTTTTTCTTTGCAATGATAGGTCAACAGTCTACTGGACCTCATGGTATCCGAGAAACAGGCTCTTGAAGAGAAAATAGTATCATTAGAAGTTAGGCGGGATTAGTTTGAATTTGAAAACTCCATTATCAATAGGAGCAAGTAAAAGGTAGCAAGACAAGTGAAGACAAAACCAACGAGAAAGAAGCTAATGCATTGAGAAAAGGAGAGATCAAAGAACTAGCAGTATTGAGGACTGAACTTGCAATGGAGAGAGAACTCATCAGCTCTTTGAGAGACAGGGTAGAAAGAACAAGCGAGGACTGTCAAAGAGAAAGGCATGAACACAAGAAATGGATCGATGAACTCCAGGAGCAACTGAGCTACATTCAATTGCAATACCAGAAAGAAAAGAGAGAGAACAAAAGAGTAAGACTTTTTAATCCAGCTCTACTTGATGCTGCTAATTCTTGCAATTAACACAACACTGCAAGTGCATTAACACTGCATGCTATGAAGTAATTGTGTAAGATTATAACTTGTGTTGAGTAAGATAGACTAGAGGGTATTATTGGTATTTCTTCACAACAGTTGCAAGAAGTTTTATTAAAAAGAAATGAGAAAAACGATGCATTGATTGCTGAAAACAACAAACTTATCAGAACATTAGAAAAACTGGAAGAGAAACAGTCAAAGACAAGGACAACCCTGCTGGCATTGAAAAGAAAAGTAACACTAGAATCAAAAACAATCAAAGGAGAAGAAGAGAAAAGAGACACAGAAATAAATGGCATAGTGGAAGAGAGAGTAAAGAAACGATTGAAGATTCTGCTAGAAGAGAAAGAGGCAGAGTTAAAGGATATGAGAAACCAAGTGATACAAAGAGACGGGATCATCAAGAAACAGGTTAGGGCGACCTGTCCAACCTGTTATGCACATATAAATGATATAATAGGAAAACCAGTTAAACAGGTTGAGGGATGAACTGTCTAATCAACTGAGTGGATTTGAGAAGGAATTGCAGTCCTCAAGGTATAACAGGAACCATACACCTTTTCTCATTTGAGACTGTATAGGTTGGAGCTTCCTGAGCTAAGAAAAGCTTTGAAAATGCAGCAAAAGAAATTAAGAAAAAGTGAAGAAGCATTGCAAATGGAAAGACAAGAATCACAGCAACTATTAGCAGTAAGAACAAGATAAAACCATTCCAAAAGTGGATATATACATTGTGTCGATTGCTACTGCAAAAATCATCATTACCCTATATCAAAAGCACATTTCACCAAAAGAGATGTATTTCTTTTTCTATACATACAGAGCACTGAAGCACATATAACAAAGCTATTGGGAGTGTTGGACAAAGAGAGACACGACCATCATAAGGAAGTCCACTCACTCTGTGTTGCAATGGCTACTCAGAAACAAGAGCTACAGATGGAGCTGGACAGACTTAAGGATGTAAGCATGAGAAGAGTGACTGAACTTGCTAAGGAAGTGTGGCTTTTGAAAAATAAAAATAACAATAATTAGAAATAATAATAATAATAATAATAATAATAAATAGATTAAAATGCAATTAATTTTTACATGAAAGTAAAAGTTCAGATTTCCAATTAGAGCCCACCTCTCTGACTGTTAGTAATGGATCATTTAACGATCCATCACGTGAACTAATTCATAATAATTAATGATAATTAATTACTTGATAATTGGTAGGTCGTTGCTTACTTCCATAAAAATTTAACTTCAAAATTGAGGACATTGCCATTCTCATCACTAGCCAATGGAGGAACTTCCAACTAGTGAATGTATATACAGTTAAACTTGAATCCTTTAAAGTAGCATGTACATGTATTGAGTTTTATTCTGGAAATACATGTAGGTGATTTTATCCTAAATTATAGTGAATTTCTAAAATCACCAAAATAAAATGCCTTTTTGCACACTTTTAATGATAACTGACTGCAAAATCACCAACCATCTACTGATTGCAGTCATTATTATCACATTTAAAATTGTCAAATTCCTCTGCATAATAATAACCAATTAATGACATTTTGTCTTTAAAAATGTAGAAAATAATTAACTAAAAGAAATCACATACCTCTCCTAACACTGCAGTCTCTTTGATGGCTATAATAACAGGTCTCCCAGGCTCACTTACCTAATGTCATTGCAATAACTATTATGATCAAGTAAGAATAATGATACTTACTTCAATCTTAGTATTAATAGTTTTACAAACTGGTAATGGTGTATGCTTTCCAAGTAGCACAACACTTGCTGGAGTCACACAATTAGAAAACTAACAAGTGTAATTTCAAAATAGCAAAAAATGAATGACTAAAACCAGGTGGTATGATAAAATCATTGAAAATGTAAAATTGGCCAAGTTTTTAAAATGGTCATAACTCGAAAATTATTTGTCGGAATCAGCTCAAACTTGCTACACAGCATAAGGACATCAATATGTATCAGAAAATGTAATAAAAATTGGGGGTGATTTTTTGGCCATTTTTTGAAAAAACCATGGGCTATAGTACAGGGTATTTTTCAGAATTTTGGTGTTTTCTTAAAATGGCCGTAACTCAAAAAATTGAAGTCGGAATCACCTCAAACTTGCTATGTAGCATAAGTACATCAATATGTATCAGAAAATGTAATAAAAATTTGAAGTGAGTTCGGAGCTATTTTTCGGAAAAAACCATGGGCTATAGTACAGGGATTTTTTCAGAATTTTGGCATTTTCTTAAAATAGCCATAACCTGAAAAATTGAAGTCAGAATCACCTCAAACTTGCTACACAGCATAAGGACATCAATATGTATCAGAAAATGTAATAAAAATTTGGGTTAATTTTGGAACCATTTTTCTGAAAAAACCATGGGCTATAGCCTTGGGTATTTTTCAAAAAATGGCTCATTTACACTGTACATAAAGCAGAAGTATAGGATGATCCCTTACAGTTAAGGAGAGGTCATTAGTAGTGACAGGTATGGTAGAGGAGAGGGAGAGACCTGAAGTGACTTGATGATAAGATGCTTCTAAAGCAGCTCCCAACGACACAACATGATCCGTCGAAATAAAATAATACACTTCACTGCTCGAGAAAACATCTTTCATCAGCTGCTGTAGGCGTGGTATCTTGCACGTCCCACCAATCAAAATGACTTTATTTATATTGGAGCCAGTTAAGCCAAGTGAATTTAAGAACCCTTGAATAGGGTCCAGGAATGAAGTGAATATTGACTGACAGACCCCCTCAAATCTTCCCCTATCATCATAATAAGTATCAGATCCACAGACTCACAGTGTAGGTACCTTGTTACATTACATTGGAAGTCCATTCCATCATGGAGTGACTCCACATAGACTGGTCCTGTTTGCTGATTAGTCAATGATTGCTTTAATGACTCAGCAGCTGCTAACAATTTATTAACAGCATATTTACCTCCTGTGACATCTTTACGGAAATATCTATCAAGAAAAAGAGAGAGAGAGAGAGAGAGAAGGAAAAGTTATATTAAAAGATAATATGAGAGTCCTTCATACCTTTTACATTCATCCTTCAATACAGACAGCAGTTCTTGATCAATGTCATACCCACCCACTCCATTAATGGTACGGGTCCCTACCAGTTTCATTAGTCCATTAATTAATCTTATCACTGTTAAACTGATTGAGTTGACACCGACATCGTACACAAGGACATGACCGGTATAAGAATCCTTATCGAGTCCTAAAAGAACAGAATATGTAGTTATGAATATGGAAACCAAGCCATTGGCAAAGAAATGAGGAAAGTATTCAATAATATGTACATGCACATGTAATACTAGTGTAATAATAATAGAAATATTTTGTGATAAATTTAGACCAAAGAGAATGCATCAATATGTCCATATTAGGTGGATATAGAATGTATCACCATACCATAGGGTAGTACTGATAACATTGGTGAGGGCGGGGTCGATATGACAGTAAATCCATGAGTCTCTACACACTGTCTATTAAAACATGGCAGTATAATTATCAACATATTGAGAGCTTACTTGAGAAGTGATACATGATCAGTATCATAGTGAATGGGTACTGATAGTACGCAGTGGATACTACCAGAACTGACTGACTCACATGATCTTGCTGTAGCTATAAATGCAGACATCACATAGAGTAACTTGACACCAAATTATTTCTTTTAATATGTCACATGTACACTGGGTTTTCAGTTGTAAGAATCACCTGCTAATTGTTCCAATACTTTTCCCAAAGTGTCTTTAACTGGTACTAGGCGTGGCTTTCCTTCCCTTTCAAACTTGTAACATATATTACCGCCTTTCTTGATAATCTGAGAAATGAATGATTAAATGGCTGTAAATTAATAAAAATACCGTAATATTAGACACTTTCTTCTCCTCATTTTCATTCAAACTAAAAAAATTAATTAAAAAATTCTTAACAATCAAAACTGCTCCACTTACTCTGTCCCCAGTAGAGATGGCATTGCAATCGCTGTATACTGAAAGTTTCTATATAATGCCCCTTTTGCAGCTGAACCGACCAACTGTGACAAAGACAGATGCACATATCTTAGTTTGGATCACGTGACTTAGCTCACAATGGTGTCGTCCTTGTAAGTGACTAGCATTGGGGTTTCCCTCTCACCAGATTCGTTAGCTAGGACTTCACTCCTTCCGTTCTAATAAAAGAAGATCCTAGATACTAACCTCACCTCTCCCTTACTTTAAAAACAGATATAACCCCCTGGTGGTTGCCAAGAGAGAGGCCGAAAACTGTCGCCATGTTGCCCACGTGTATGTGTATGATTTCAAGTCTGGTGGGTGTGGTGAAAGGTGTGGCTTATGTCACTATATCGATTGATTTAAAGAAACATGTTTTTTCATGTAAGAGTATTATTATTGTTCTTATTATTTTTATAATAATTATTAGATACCTCTGGAGCATGAAATCTTACTGCATCCTCGCTACTTTGGCCCAAATTTATTAGAAACAGTAAAAAAGAAACTGTTCACTGAAGTGGAGGGGACCTGTACTGGAAAGTAAGTCAGTCACGTGACACATCACGTGACTGCTTTCTTAGACATGGTTTTGTGATAGCTGTGACAACTATCGACAATATTGGTCTTGGTATGCTGCAGACAGGAAGAGGGGTAGCGCTCTACCCAGTCAAGTACAAAGCGATTGTTTTCAGACCTTTTAAAGGGGAAGTCCTGGACGCACTAGTTATTCAAGTTAATAAAGTAAGAGAAGGTTTTAAAATGAAGGGGAATAGTACCGTATAGCACTTTACTTTTGAGGTGTAAAGTTTTGTGGGTTTTCATAGATTAGCAATTTAGCGTGCAGCTGTGAAATCAAATTAGTATGACGATATTCAAAGTCATGGCACTAACATGTAAAAGTTATTTTTGCAATAGAACATTTTATACATTTTACAAAAGTCCCGCTCCTTGAAATTAAAGTGCTACAGTATATTGTATGATAACAATGTCATTTTGTTATTATTCTAGTTAGGGCTCTTCACCCAGATTGGGCCACTAACCTGCTTTATTTCAAGACACGTAAGAAGCAATCAGGTCTCACTTATCATCATTTTATTTTTATTTTTAGTCGATACCGCCCGAGATGGAATTTGATCCCAACTCAACCCCTCATTGTTACAGAACATCAGAATCAGTAAAATAAAATAAAAATAAAATAAATAAAAATAATAAAATGATTATTAGTAGTAATGTTATGTTACTAAGTAGGTTATATAGATGTATTTTGATGTATTTTTGTCATGTTCATTTATTACTGTTGTCCAATAGGATGTCCTGATTCAGGAGGGGAATTATTTAAGAGTACGGATAGTTGGTACAAGAGTTGACGCTAATGATATTGTATGGAAGAGTAATCATAACTATAATCTTTCTTTACTTTCTTCCTTTTCTCTCTCTCTCTAGTTTGCTGTAGGATCACTTATGGAGGATTATTTAGGATTAATCAGTTAGAGGGTGTTCCAGTCCATTGGACTTGTAACATTAATACATGCACATCATATCCATATTACTCTCCACTCTTGTATGTCCTTCACAATGTGTCACAGATAATAATTCATTTAATTGAATTTTTTTCATAAACTTGTTAACTTGCTGGCCGGCCCAGAACTAATGACGCTTGGATGCAAGGACTAGATCATCTGTCTCAGCCCATCACGCCACTAGAAGAAGCAGGTTATAAAGAAGCAAGACAGGTCTAGGTCCTAGTAGAGGTTCAAAGCATACAAGATATGGCTAGTGATAAAGATCCAGTAGTAAAACCTGTGGTCAAGATTGCTTTGGTTGGTTTTGGTCGAGCTGGCCATATGCATTTGTCTAGTATTCGCTCCAACCATCGCTGTGTACTGAAGTATGTTGTTGAGCTAGCTGGAGAAAGAGAGGAAGCAGCGAGACAAGAGCTAGTTGGTCTCAATATGGCCGACTCTGTTACTGTCATATCAAGTGATAGGTTTGATTCAGTAGTCCTTGCTGATCCTGATCTTAACGCAGTCATGATCACGACACCTACTGATCAACACGAAGTCTACATAGCTAAATCAATTTCTGCGGGCAAGGCTGTGTTCTGTGAAAAACCGATCGCTGAAAGCATTGACACAGTACGAAAGTGTTACGAAGAAGCAGAGAGAGCTAAACTCCCTCTCTTCTGTGCTTTTAATCGTCGATTTGATCCCGCCTTCAACGACCTAAGGGAGAGAGTGAGAGGAGGAGAACTAGGCAAGGTCCATTGCATCAGTACAACATCTCGTGACTCACCCCTCCCCTCGATGTCTTATCTGAAGATCTCTAATGGAATGTATCATGATTGTGCTGTTCATGACATTGACACTGTCTGTTGGATATTAGGGGAGGAGCCTAGCCACGTCTATGCCCAGGGACACGCCCAGAAGAAAGAGATAGTGGATATCAATGATGTGGATACTGTTGTGATAGTTTTAACATTTCCAAGTGGTGTATTAGCTTCTGTGAATCTTAGCCGCCACTCGAGCTACGGCTATGATCAAAGAATAGAAGTGAGTCTCTTACCATGAATGTTATCATAATGATTATTGATACAGAGAGTTCATTATGATGTGTTCATTATCAAGTGTCATTATTGCTACAGGTATTAGGTGACAAAGGAATGCTCTCCATTGTTAATCCACACAGTCTGCCACTAGTTTCATCAACTGCTACTGGTATCAACCTCTCTCCTTACCAGTACTCATTCCCAGAGCGTTACGAGGCTTCGTACAGAAATGAACTCCATCACTTCATAGACTGTATCCAAGACCCCAGCCTAGAGATGAAGGTCAATGTTAATGATACAGTAAGAGCTACTAGGATAGCTCAGGCCTGTGAGCGCTCAGCAGTTAGTAAGAAAGCTGAGCTATTGGAGACATGATAGTGCTTTATTTATGTAGCTGATGATGATTATTATTATTATTTAAAGTAACAGTTTTCAAATAATCTCATTAGCTCATAAAGTTTTTGATGTCTCCCTGCTTTGTTGCTTGTTTGAGCTGAGCCCCACCCACTACTTGCTGTGCAAAGATGGCCACAGGAGTAGCAAGGTTAGGATTGTGTGGCTATGGACGGGCTGGTCTCTTCCACTTCACCAGCATAAGAGGAAACCCGAGGGTAACCCTCAGTCACGTGATTGAGGACGAGTCCAGACTTGAGATGGTAAGAGAAAGACTCTCAAAGCACAATTTAGATCACGTGACAGTGTCTTGTCCAAAGGATTTCAAAGAGAAGGTCCTATCAGATCCGCAGCTAGATGCACTAGTGATAGCAGCACCTACCCACACGCACGAGTGGTATGTACTGGAGTCACTGAGGGCTGGGAAGCACGTGTTTTGTGAGAAACCGGTAGCGGACTCCCTCGAGGTCATTCAGTCCTGCTACAAGCAAGCAAGCAGATCAAACCTTCTCCTATTCTGCGGCTTTAATAGAAGATTTGACTCTGGTTTCTACAATGCATGGAGGAGACTGAGAGAGGGAGAAATAGGACGCGTGTACACCATTAAAACAACCTCGCGTGATCACCCCAACCCACCCATCGAGTACTTGCTGTCCTCCAAAGGAATATCGCATGATTCGGCTATTCATGACATTGACATCATTTGCTGGATGATGGGGGAGGAGCCTGTGGAAGTCTATGCTCAAGGCCAGGCCCACAATCCTAGATTGGAGGGGATTGATGTTGATGTTATTAGTATTATGTTGAAATTTCCAAGTGGTGCCATAGGGAATATCGAGGTCTCTCGATATAGTGAAGCTGGATATGACCAGAGACTGGAAGTAAGAGAGAGGCAGCTAAGTGTGTCAGGACTCCAACTAAGCATTATATTAGATCTAGAGAGAGAGAGATGAATTCAAATCTTGACATTATAATTATCATTTTTATAGATTCATGGCGAAAAGGGTGACCTCTTTGTCACGAATCCCCCTAGAAAACCAGTGACAGTTGCAGCACAAAATGGAGTCACTTCATCCCAGTACTTCCATTCATTTGATTCGAGATACAAAGATGCTTATAGCAGTGAAATGGATCATTTCATTGACTGTGTTCTTGATCCTAACAGTCAACTACTAGTGACAGGAGAAGAGGTAGTCAGAGCTTGTCGTGTTGCAGATGCAGTTGCCAGGTCTTTACAAAGTAAAAAACCTGAAAAACTATAGCTACTTGAAAATGTGCAATTAGATAACCCCTAATTTTATCATCTTCTATTTGTTGAAAATTTTATGCAAAAGTGTTAAAAAGTGCTTTAATACACAATAATCACATCATTTTTTATATTATTATGATACATGTTCACTGTTTGGTTAAGATTCCATTCTTGTGTCATCTATAGATTAGAAAGTTTGGAGTTCCACAGTAACTGACTGCAAAATGTCTGCCATCTACTGTAGGATCAGTAAAAGCAATGGCCTCCTTAGGAATGATATGCCCTGGTTTAAAATTATGCCTATAGTACATGAAGACAAAGAACAGAGATTTCATTTAAAATTCATAAAAAATCCAATCTTGATTGGAATCAGCTCAAACGTGAAACACAACATATGAACATGTATATGTATCAGAATACAGACTTACCTAGCAGCATCTAATAACTTTCTAGCAATCCCTTTTCTTCTAAATGAATCAAACACCCATACTTTATTAACACCCATCAATGCTGGCTCAGACTTCTCACTAGATAAAATACAATAAAAATAAGTGTACATTGCACATGACTTAGTACCTGCAGGACCAGCTGGAGCTGTTATTTTCATCGTTCGACATAATCCTAAATCCCTATACAGTAAGGATTATATGATAGTTACTGCAATAAAACCACACAAAGATTCATACCTCAGTGATACTCTCCACTACAATACATCCAACCACCTTACGATTACTAATACACATCAGTAACTATCAAAAGAGACAGTCACTGGTATAATGTACTCATCATCAGTATAATGGTACCTTTGCATTGGGATTAAGAGTACCAGTAGTACTGATTCCTAATTCATTATCAATATGGGCTATTATACTATCAATCTGAGAGAGAGAGAGAGGTTGGGAGTAATATTAAGATACAGTGATCAGACTAACCTTCTTCAGATGGGCTTTAATGTCGGTTGGTAAGACTAACAATATCCTGGTATCCTTCATTGGTGGATGTGATGAGACTCTGTCAAAGGACTCTATTGCTTCAACCCTCCTCTCATTCTTCCATCCCTAGAGAGAGGAAAGTGCGCGAATGACATCATAGTCTTTTAAAATGGCTAACATCGAATCTTATTCCACTTGTTATCTTCTTGTGGTACTCGTAATGATCCAGCTCATCCTGTGACTGTCCGTATGAGTACAACATGCCACAACGCTTGCACTGGACAGGGCCAAAAAATTTTTGACCAAAGTCCTGTCAAAAATAATTACTATTGTAAATATTAAATTGGTTGTTTTACTAAGTGAAGCTGCTTTGTTGCTAGTATTTTTGGCTTCTTGGGATTCTTTCCTAAGACGTCGATCATTTCAATCAAAGGCCTGTCAAGGAATTAATAAAACAGAGCAAAGTAAAGCAACAAACCTTTTCCTCACGGTCGCCATGTTTTCCCGCCCTTTGCTTCCCCACACCTCTTAGTCACGTGATCACTTAACAAGTCCAAATGATCACGTGATCTTGCTGTTACCAGTTACCACCCACTCAAAGCTAAGGTTTGAGGTCGGATCTCTCAGTTCAACTTTTTGCTCGTAAACCGCTTTAGTTCAGTTCATTTGGTAGTTTTTCTGGTGAGTTTAGCTTATTTGTGCATTAGTTTTACTATTGTAAGCTTGTTTATCTGCTGTGTTTCCTTTTTTGGCTAATTAATCAATTGGCCATGAAATTGCCCCTAGCTAGCTAGCTGGACATGAACTATGACTGCTATGAGCTTATCTTACGGTTGACTAGCATGAAATTCCTATCAGCATATCTGCTAATAAAGTTGTGAAAAGCTTTGTAAAGGAATTTAGTTACAAGGGCCATCATGGAAGTGCGGCATTGTGACACTGAATGTTTTTGGGTAGCATCTGATTAATGCATTCCTTAAAGGAACAAAAAGTTATATATAACAACAATAGCAGTTTATACCGTGGCTTGCAGACCTCAAAAGCATTTTCATATTCAGATAAGAATAATTAATTATGGAAGTCATGTGATAGTGTAATGGAATTCACACTTTCCATAATTAATCTCATTAGCATGCCCTGCAACTTTATGGCTGCAATTTGGCATATAATTCTACAAAGGTTGCACTGAGTTTATGGAACAGGAAGGAAATTAATATGTGCAATGTTATTTTTATTAACTGACACTGACAGCGTTGATAGTGTCACTTTTAATTCCTGTACAGGTACACAGGGTATACACAATGACTGATACAGCTCCTCCCTTAGATGAAAAGAGTAGTTATCCTCCTCCTTATCCAAATCCACAAGAAGGAGGTTACCCTCCACCTCAAGGAGGCTACCCACCACCCCAGTCCTATCCACCACCACAAGAAGGATACCCTCCTCCTCAGCAAGGAGGATATCCGCCCCCTCAAGGGAGCTATCCACCCCCACAGCAGCAAGGGTACCCACCCCCTGGGTATTCCGATCCACAGGCTCCTCCTCCTCAGCAGCAGCAATCAGCTGCTACTACAGTTGTTGTTCAGCAGCAACCTGTTGAGGTAAAGGTAGCCTTCCGGGATAGGCCAGTTGTGTTACCTGATGGGGTAAGGATGAATCTGTTATTGTTATTGGTACTAAATGTTTTCTTTGTCCTATTGTTTAGAATACCACTGTTCTACGCTATAAGATTGGTCTTCTTAGCTGGATTGTGGTCGGTATTGTGTGTCTGGTTACGCTAGAGTGTGGTATCTGCTGTGTTGGGTTCATTGCTCTTCTGATTGATGGACTGAAGGACGTAGAGCACGTTCATCCAGTCACTGGTCAAGTTGTTGGAGTCTATAAACGTATCTAGCCAACACATGATGAGGATTGATTATTGAACAATGCTCCTCGTTTTATCTACTTTAACGCATTGTCTGTATTGTCTTACTGATTGAGTAAACTTTTTATTTGTGTCGCTCATTCTGCTATAATTTTTAGAAATTTATTTTAAAGAGATTATAACAATGATTCAATACATAGTTAACTCTGGCACTGATAGTACACTCCCATTATGTCTCCAGTCTGAGGGTGAAGATGCTCAACATCTTTAAGACAGGGAAGACAGAAGCACGAGAGAGTCAAAACTGGCAGCAATACCCAGCCAAATGGGACAAAGAACATCACCAGAAGGACTATGAATGCCCCTAATAGATTGCCATAGCCAATACGCTTTTGAGTTATGGTTGAACCCTGCAGAATTAAAATGAATCACAATGCTTATGTCATTTCTATCTCTCTTGGCCCTTACTATATTAGGAAGATTGGCTGGCTTTCTTCCAAACACTATCAACTGCGGTATGGCTCTCAATTGTCCCACTGCCTGCTGTGAGACTGGTTGCTCTACATTCATACAATTATAGTACATCATTAATAGAAAATACCTCTTTGTATTGGTGGGGGATAGCGATGATACCTTATCATCTGTGGAGCGTCTACTGTGCCTCGTTGAAACCTTCCAACTATGTTATTAGAGACAGGGTCAACATGGTAGGCATCTTTTGTCCACTTGCATTTGGTACAGAGCGGGAGAAATGCAAGGAAGCATAAACCAAATGGCAGCAAAGAAAAGAAAAGGATGACTATGACCATCTTTGCGTACTGACCTGTTTTAAATTGAACGGTTGTTTCATTCTAAAAAGCAGAATTTGTAAGTATGCAATGAATTAAGTTTGAACTTACACCATCAGATAACTTAACTGGGCTTTCTCTAAGGAGCTGAGGCCTGACAACGGTTGAATAGTCAGTCAGTTGTTCATCAGGTCTCACAGGAATCAATGGTTGTACATTGTTTGGATGAAATTCAACTGCTCCATAACCTGCTGATGGCCAAACTCCTTGTCCCTAATATACACAGTCACATAATTTTTTACTTGTAAAAACTGAAACAAGTGCATACTTCTCTGATATGAGTTGGGCTGGTATCTACTGCTTCATAGATTGTGTCTTCTTGTCGCTGATACTGATAATCATGATTTGAATGATGAGGTAAGGAATGAGATCCTGTCATGATGTAGTTTAAAATCATACAGTTTCCTGTCTTACTTCTATTATGCCTGCTCATCTTTTACAGGGGAAGATTCTCTTGCTGCTTTCTCTCTCGTCTAGTCTGGCCTTATCTCTTCGTTGTAAAGTCGTCACATGCTTGTTATGATTGCTGAATGAGTGATGCTTGTCAGACTTTGACTGTACAATGTAAGTTTGCTTTAATACTACCTACTACTATGTTATGTTTGTCACACGTATTGTAACTGTTGTGTGATTTAATAGCTGAAAATATAATTAAAGTTTAACAATGCATGCAATGATCTGTCCAAAATCCCAAATCATAAATATGTTCATATTTATGCCCAAATAAAGATTGCATGCTACCACGGTCAGTTAGCAACTTTTCTTCCGGAGTTCCAGTTCCCCTTTGATGTGGTGAAGGACTCTCTATTCAAGGCAGCAGTCTCCCAAGACCACATCAAAGTAGCTGGTATCGTATGCATGTGCTTGGGTGGGCGTTTGGACTGCACTGCATATCCACATGTGCGTTCCATGAGTTCAGCACATGCGATGATGGAGGCGTCAGTTGGGATGTTTACAGGCATGGAAGGGAAGCTAAAGAAGAAAGGCGTCAAGGCCAAGGAAGCCTCAAACCAGAGAGTCTACGATAAAGATGGATACAGGAGACGTGTAGACTGTTTACTCTTTAGAAATTCAAAGAAACAAGAAGTCAGTGGATCGACTAACTCGACTTTTGGTGTTAATTGCAAGGCGGAGTCTATGTACATGTATTTCTTTTCAAACAGGTATTGTTGGTGTCTAGCAGGAATCATCCTGATCTTTGGACTATTGCTGGCGGTGGTATAGAGCCACTGGAAACACCAGCACAAGCTGCAGTAAGAGAAGGACATGAAGAAGTAAGTAAAATAGAACTACAGTTGTTTATTGGCAGTGAATGTAGATTATATTCATTAGTATAATATAACATGTAGGCCGGTTAGGTAGCATAACTTAAAGAGATTGTCTTTCACGCTTATGAAAAATATATTTAAAGGAAACAAGTATATACATCTTGTACATTAGTAATATTAATTCATGCATGTAATAAGTTCCTCCTACTACTATAATTTTGATTAGAAAGTAATGTACGTGTGTGTATTGTATAATACTCCTTCATCATCCGCTACTATGGAATGATGTACGGTTATTACACACACAAACACACACACAGCTTCCTTTAAATTGATATGGTTATATTTATGCATCAACAAATTAAAAACACTCCAGAGTACATCGATAATCTGATCTTGTGTGCTTCACTATCATTATCTAAAATGTTGGGCTTCCTTGTCTGTGGGCCTTACCCCAATTGATCTCTGCCCTGGAGTAATATTCATACACCATAACCCACACTCTTTGGTTGATGTAACCCATAATAGTAGAACTATGTAGTCAGTGGTTGTTATTCAGTTCCAGTTTGAGTTTACGCATTAGAAATTTTCTTAGAATGTTCATAACTCGAAAATTTGTGACCAGTATTAGCTGAGCATGGCATAATAGTAAGAATCTTATTGGTTATATAGACTTCCTTTTTGTTAACTGGTAAAATGTATACAAGTCTTGTTGTCCTTTAAATGTTATTTTATTTTTATATAAACTATAGGCCGGAGTCACTTGTGAAGTAATAAGTAGTATAGGAGTGTTTGAGGTAATGGTGTACGGTAATTTACTAATAATATACTAATAATATACAGGATAAAGAGAGAAAGACAAGAACTGAAGCATTCTCTATGCTTGTGACGAGCGAAGCAGAGGATTACTTGGACAAAAATAACTGTCAGTAATGAAATTACAATAAGAATTACAATATGCAGTGGCATTATTAATAGGAACAAAACACACCCTAATAATAATTATAATTATTCCTGAATCATCAATATTATTTGCTCTATTTTATTTATGTAGGGGGAAGGTCAAAGAAATGGTTCTCAGTCAAAGAAGCAATAGAGATTCTTAATATGAGACAAAAGTACGATAAGATGGCATATTTCGCACTAGCTGGGTGTGAAAACTAAAAATCAGTTACTCATCCAACTTTAATTTTTAACTAGCACTAATTTTTGCAAGAAGAGCCTGTAACAGTTATGGTGATTTTATTGTATATTTTATGTCTGTAATTTTAGTTAAAATTATTATTTATGATCCAGTACCATAATAATTTTCATCAGCTGTTGGTTGCTGGTCACGTGACGAGAGTGCGAGCCCGCCCACGCAAGTACAAGTGTATTTGCAGGGATGCGTGGGTGGCAGATGCAGCATGCAGGCTCATAACTTTCTCTTGACTGCCTAGCAAGACGTAAAGTAAAGGCGTAGCACCAGTGTGAGTATGGATCAGCCAGTAAAAGAGGAGGACAAAATAGAAAAGGACATTTCCAGAGACAGAGAAGGCTCAGAGGTGGGAGAAGAAGAAAATGAGACTAGAAATGGTTTCCAAGAGGAGGAAGAAGTAGTGGACAAACAAGAAGAGAAAGAGAGCAAGGGCAAGAAAGGGAAGCATGGAGGAGGGCGTATAAAACGACCAATGAACGCCTTCATGGTATGGTCTTCGCTGGAAAGGAAGAAGCTGGCTGAGAAAGAGCCAAACCTTCATAACACTGAGCTAAGCAAGAGACTGGGACAAATGTGGAAAGAGATGACTGAGGAAGACAAGACTCCATACAGACAAGAGGCAACTAGACTTAAAGACAAACTCATGGAAGACCACCCAGAATACAAATACAAGCCAAGACGACGTAAAGACCTCAGACATATTCAGACCAGCACTGGTAACATAGGGCTCTTCAGCTCTCATGTGATTGCTGATCGATCGTACAGTGCCCCACCAGTTCCCCCTATTCTTCCATCCTCAAACAGCTTGTATCATTATAACCAAGACATGATTGATGGAGTAGGAAGTGGCCAGACTCATTATCCTTATTACCATTCAACCCCAACCTCCCCCCATCATATAAACAGTATCATGCCACATAACATGTTTCCTCCACACTACTACCATCCCCATCTTGGTGGCAGCCCCCCTGCTGCGTTCCAAATAGGAGGGAGTAGCAACCAGCTAGCATTGCAACAGCATACTGGCCATTTACCTCATTTAGCTCAAGGAGGACCTCCTGCTGCTGATCTCAGGTTGGAATGTACCATGACAAGTGTTGGCTGTGATAGCACAATTCCAACGGGTCTTGTCACATCAACATATTTCCAGTTTCCTAGCCCACTGGTGGTCTCCTCCTCCCCCTCCTCTCCCACTTCTCCTGTTTATGCATCAGAGACTCCTCCTTGCTCTCCTTACATGCCATCAAGTACTACCAGTATACAGTCATACTCGATATCAGAGACTAGCAACACCACACAGGTTTGTGTCCATGCACTATTATGAACAAACTGTATATATATATATATATAGCTAGCATTTTGAGAATTTGAAGAATCGCACAAATTTAGTCCTCAAAAATTTGATGCACAAATTAATGACTTAATTAAGTTAAAAGTCATGTCGAATTTGCAAAAATTGGTGCTGTGTGGCTGCAGTTGTATGGTTTTAAGTTTGTATTAGAAATAATAGCAACCAGCCTAGCCCTATAGCCAAAGTTGATCCTATTGATACTATCAATTTCACAAGAATGACCCTTTAAGAATAGTGCAAACTGATACATCAAGAGGTGCATATGTCACTTTGTGGGGCTGCATATAACTGAGATTATTATGATCTAAGTTGAGTTTGCACAGATATACTCACATGGTATTTTATTACGTATCTATTTATTAATTAATTTGTTTGTTGTGCAGGTAACAACATCTCCAAGAGATGCATGTAGTCCAACTTTTCTGTCTCCCCCTCTCTACTCCCCCTCCCCCTATCCTCTAAGAGAACCTTACTACGCTCAATTCAGATACCCACCTGAAGACTTCATCCAGCCAGTACCACCAAACTATGCAACGTCTCCTACTCTACACATGGGAACAGGGAGAGAGGGAGGGTACATGTACAATCCCGTACCGCCCACGCTAATTAAAATGGATGCATCTCACAACATCCAACAATCGCATCCTTCAAGTTTAAAGTTAGAACAAGGAGACTGCACTTGTGGTACTAATTATCCAGTGATGGCTCCCTTTTCTCCTAACTCTCCTCTATCAGCAGTCAGTGAGGGTCTACCAATATCACCTGACCTAACACCAAGGAAACCTCCAGGAACTGAGACTGATGGTGTCTTCTTTTAATGTCACTCTCTCTCAGATGGGATGGGATACAGGTGTTAATTAGGTGACAGACACATCAAGCTAATTGATTAGTACTGTATGATTATTATTATTATTATTATTATGTTGTCATTATTGTGCATGTGTCACTTAGAAATTAACTTTAGTAGTACCTTTTAGCATCAAGCACAAACAGGACCTATATATGCATAACAAACACACACACACACAAGTATATATGTTCATGATATACAGCTACTTGTTATTATCACTATGCCATTTATATTGTTCTCATAACTGTGAAGTCATTATTGTCACTGTCATCAATATTATTATTATTATTATTATTATTATTATTATTATTATTATTATTATTATTTCATGTATGTGCATGTAAATACAATTGCTACATGTTTACAGTCATTTATATATCGATTTTAAACATTTTTTGATTAAAATACAACATTAATAACAAATAACAGAATCATAATAAGAGATCTCTTAGCTGTCTTGAATGATATATGAATCTATTGGCTGTAGTGAATGATTACTGATTGATTCTGAAAAAAATCAAATTGAGGGAGGCCATGAATCACATTAATCAGTTATTCACAGTTACTATTGGGTGAAGGGCATGCTCAACACATGCTGAATATTAAAATAGTTTTATTGCTTTCTTAAGAATGTTGTTATAATGCATACACATAGAAAGCATGTATATAATTACATGTATACGTCAAATGTATATACATAATCATGACTGACTGACCTAATACCCATGATTCCTTTACATGGACTTTAAGCTCATTTCCTCCTCCAGTGGGGCAAGACTCTCTCCCTATGATAATGTCTGCCTTTAGTTTGGAGTTTGTGATCTACAAAGAGTCAGGAAAGGATACAGTAATACAGTCTATAGTCAATGTATGTAGTTATGGTTCACTGCTGCATAAAATTGACAATCAGCATATGACATTCTTAATTTATTATTATCATCAACATAGTAGTAGGAGGCAAGGGCTCTTGATAAATGCAATGAGTAGCTGGAGATCTAGTTTAAGTAGTTTTTATATCAAACTATTGCAGGTACAGTGTATATACATGTACTAGGCCAATGTACTTTTGCTCCAGATAATGTTAGTAATAGTTCAAGGTCGCTATGAGATGGTTTGGTATCACTTGATATGAAGATTGATCCTGATTTCAGAAACAGTGAAGGCTTGTATAGCCCACCAGCCATTTGCCTCTCTAATCTAAAGAACTGGGAAACAGAAAGTAGCACATACAGTATATTAATTCTCTCTTACTTGTGCTGAAGGGAATTCTGTGATTAGTTCAAAAGGTCCTTCGGGTAACCAATGACCAGCTTCCAGAGATTTAAAAACCTTCAGGAATAACATTTAGTAATTCACAAAGCAATCAAAGTGAGCTAAACAGCATGAGCTTCATGAGCTGACAGCCTGACAAGCACTACAATACAGTACATGGCTTTTGGAGCAACTTTAAAAATTTGTAAAAAATCCAAATTTGATCGGAATCAGCTCAAACTTTCTACACAGCATAAGAACGTGTATATGCATCAGGGAATGTTATAAAAATTGAGAATTCTCTACTTTTCATTTTTGGCAAAATTTGGCCCGAGACCATGTACTATAATAGTACAGGGACTTTTACTCAATTTTGGAGCAACTTTAAAAATTCGTAAAAAATCTAAATTTGATCGGAATCAGCTCAAACTTTCTACACAACATAAGAACATGTATATGTATCAGGAAATGTTATAAAAATTGAGAATTTTCTACTTTTCATTTTTGGTGAAATTTGGCCCGAGACCATGTACTATAGTACAGGGACTTTCACTCAATTTTGGAGCAACTTTAAAAATTCGTAAAAAATCCGAATTTGATCGGAATCAGCTCAAACTTTCTACACAGCATAAGAACGTGTATATGTATCAGGGAATGTTATAAAAATTGAGAATTCTCTACTTTTCATTTTTGGCAAAATTTTGCCAAAGTCCCTGTACTATAGTACAGGGACTTTTACCAGATTTTGAAGCAACTTTAAAAATTCGTAAAAAATCCAAATTTGATCGGAATCAGCTTAAACTTTCTACACAGCATAAGAACATGTATATGTATCAGGGAATGTTATAAAAATTGAGAATTCTCTACTTTTCATTTTTGTCAAAATTGCCCCTGAGACCATGTACTATTATAGTACAGGGACTTGGGCCTGGTTTCCTTACCCAGTCCATTGACAGTATCCAGCATCCTTTAACAGTCCCTGCTAGTATGTTAATGGTGCGTCTGATGGTACCACATACCACGTGTGTTGTGGTCTCACAGACATTGTGTGACAGCTCAAAACCACCCAACCTATCAACAACAACGTGGACTGCACACTGGTCCCTGGGGGAGAGAAATAAATAAGATAAATAATAAGATATTAATAGCAAAAAAGAGAAGAGGTAAGCTTACTTTGTTGGAACACTTGTCATTACAAGAGTTGGTTTCTGATGGAAAGTAGAAAGCATCATCATTATCAGCAGATGTAGAGATAGAAAAAATAAAGAATTAATAATAATAACAATATTATCCTACTTGTTTCTCAAACGATGATCTCTTTCTTCTAAACTTCTTCACAGGTACAAAACTATTCTCACTCCCCTCTACTTTAACCTTGGCCTCCTTCATCTTATCTTTCTTATCATTCTGATCCTTCTTCTTCTTCACATCATTTTGATCCTTCTTCTTCACATCATTCTGATCTTTCTTCTTCGTTAGTTTCTTATCTACAGTAGGTGGTTTCTTATTAGCTAGTGGTTTCCGGCTCTCAGTGACTGTTGGGGTCTCTTGTTTCTCGTTGTTTTCTGTTAAAGTCTTTTTACTAGTGACAGGAGTACGAATAAAACTGACTGGAGGAAGACTGTCTGGTGTGGAGCACTACACAGAGAATAGAGTGAATATAGACAGTCTCATCCATTTATTAAAAACAACACACCATGCAACCATACTATAGTACATGAATCATTCTTTGGTATTATCTTCCTATTCTGATATTCTTACTCGACTTTCATCTGATTGTTCAGCTATTTCAATGACCTCTTCTTCATCACTGGTAAAGTCAAACACAGCCAGTGATATCTTCTTCTTTGATGAAGCTTCCTTGAGATCCTTACCTTTCTTCCTTTTTCTCTCTATCAATAGAATAATGGAATTATGTTTTTAAAAAATGAATATAGCAAATCAGTAACGGTATTGTATTCAAAATTTTAAATTAAGCTCTTTCTCTCCCTCTTACCAACAGATCTTGCTATTTCCTCTTCAAACGGTTTCGGTTGCATGCTCTTCATTCTCTTTATTCTGCCTAATACAACTGGTGACTCCGCCCCTTCTGATATCACTGGATACTTTGCTTCTGACACCCTCTCATTGCAACGCTTGCAACTAATAAATAAATAAATAATAATAATAATAATGATGATGATGATGATGATAATAATAATAATAATAATAATAATAATAATAATAATAATACTTACGCATCAAGCCATAATGGATTGACCAAGAAGACTTCTTTCTTGTTGACACGATCCAAATTGGTCTTACCAGCTTTATACACAATGTGAGTTACATCTTTATTCAATCTCGTTACTACCTGTGAAAATACATGTACAATTAATTATTCATGATAAGTTTTAAATAACGTACAGTTGCACCCAATCCCTCCAGACACTCTTCTAGGCTATTCCCTGTATTTATGGTGCTCTTTGATCCCGAACGAACATCGACAAAAGCAACAATACCTTTAATTTTTTTAAAATTTGGAAGAATTTTTTAATTAAAGGAAAATACAAAAATTGATAAATTTGCACACCTTCTAATGGTTTTTGACATGGCTGTGTTGGTATGTCGTCCACTCCATCCAATAAGCTTGGACTTACGAGATCTCTTTCCATCTCTTCTTCATCTGAAAAATTGGACGCCATTTTGAAACAGTACCGCCAAAATTAATGAGTGGGTGGCTCAATAGGTGAGGCCTCATTATCTACCGTATCTTTTCTAATAAAACATTGCACCTTATGAAATTATTTATTTCTGCAGCATTAGCAACAATGGAGGCTTTAGTGAGTAGAAATTTTCAGAGCATAAAAATCTATTTTCTTTATTTCAATAGAGTATTTTGAGTGGTATCCTATTGCTACTGTTATCTGGGGCTCAATCACACGAGCCAATACTTTCAGAGAAGCTGATTCGAGACATTAGCAACTACTCAGACATTGCACTGAAAATAATCGACTACTCACTAACAGGCCCAGGGGCTAACCAGTCTTACAACAGGCTGGCTACTTTTGTTGATAGATACGGGCCTAGACTATCAGGGAGCAGTAATCTGGAGGACTCCATTGATCATATGCTCTACCTCCTCCAGCAAGACGGTCTGGATAATGTCCACGGTGAAGAGGTCAACGTGACTCACTGGGTCCGAGGAAATGAGAAAGCTCAATTGTTGGAGCCGAGATCAGCAGAACTCTCGATATTAGGTTTAGGATCTAGTGTAGGTACTCCTGAGGAGGGTATCACAGCTGATGCTGTCGTCATGAGATCCTTTGACGAGTTGGAAGAAAGAAAAGACGAAGTGAAGGACAGGATAGTCGTGTTCAACCCGCCATATGTCAGTTATCCAGTGACTGTAGCTTACAGAGTCAATGGTGCTTCAAGAGCATCAAAATACGGAGCAGTAGCTACCCTGATACGTACAGTGGGGCCCTTCTCCATTTACTCCCCACACACTGGCATTCAGGAGTATAACTCTTCAGTTCCTGCAATACCGACTGCTTGTATTACCATTGAAGATGCAAACATGCTTGATAGACTTGAAAGAGCAGGAGAAAGACTCACCATCCATTTGTATATGGAGGCACAGACCTTACCAATGGTTATCTCAAGGAACACTGTCGCTGAGATCAAAGGATCCGTATATCCAGATCAAGTGGTAGTGGTCAGTGGGCACTTGGATAGTTGGGATGTCGGTCAAGGGGCTATGGACGATGGCGGAGGTGCTTTCATATCTTGGCAAGCCCTGAGTATTGTGAGAGGATTGGGATTGACTCCTAAGCGTACCCTACGTCTTGTCATGTGGACAGATGAAGAAGCAGGTGGTATAGGATCCCAGCAGTACTACCAGCGACACAGAGAAGATGCTGACAAGTATAGCATCCTCTTTGAGTCAGATGAAGGTGTCTTCCTACCTTATGGTATCCAGTTCTCAGGATCGGCTGAAGCTAAAGCAATATTGCAGCAAATAGGGCAGCTACTGGTCTCCATTAATGCTTCTGAAGTATATGATAATGGAGGAGGAACTGATGTGGACTGGTGGAGAGAAGACAAAGTCCCTACAGCCAGTCTAGCGAATCATAATGAGCATTATTTCTGGTATCATCACTCCAATGGTGACACTATGGATGTACTTGACCCAGAAGAGATGAACCTTTGCTCTGCTGTGTGGGCAGTCTATGCTTATGTGTTAGCTGATCTTGATGATGTACTGCCAAGAGGATAATGTGATTAATAGTAACTCTTAGTCTTAGTTCCCTCATGTACATGTACATGCATCTATTAATGCTATTGAATTTAACATTGTTTATTTTTGTACTGTAAGCAAGAGTACACTGCATCAAGTCTTCAAAAGTTAACTATTGGAAGTTATTTAATTGTTATGAACTTTACTTAATCATAATTAACATTTACTGTATTAAAATTAATGGTTACATTTTACGGCAAGAGGCAGAAAAATATTGTATCAAAAAGTGTATCGGTATTTAGTACAAAAGTAGCAGTTCATTTTCATTCATTTTTTATTCTCTTTGTCTTTTGATGAAAATGTTAGAAGTGGTTCCTCCAATGTCAAGGTACTTGTCAATTTCGTCTGTTGCAGCGTCTTCGTCATATACATAAACTGAAAACTCAATTGACGGAATTATTCTGCACTGAAGCTTCCCAAACTCCTGCTGCAACTCCACACAATCAATCTGAGACTTTAATATCTGTAAATAAATAATACCATCAGAAATGGATTAATGAAACTTTCTTCATTGAAATTATAATTTAAATACAATTCATTAGAAATACTTACAACATCAGGTATTGGAGTGAGAGGCGCTACCTTCCAACCTTTGAGGTCCATTTGGTTCTTAAACTTATCGAGTTCCATCAATAACTCTCCGTCACCTTTCCTTCTCGTAAATAAAAATGGGTGTGACTCAATAGTGGCGACTGTCTCAGACTGTGTATACTATAAAAAAATTAAAATTATTATTTAAAATATAAAATACATTATTTTTAAAAAGCCCAACCTTATAGTGTGCACTTAAATGCTTTGTGAAGAGTATACTCATCGTCCAGGAGTTTTTATAGTCTCGGACATAAGAGCACTGACCAGCATACTTCATAGATGTATCCCTCCTACATTAATAATAATAAATAAATAAATAAATAAATAATTAATTAATAAAACTAACGTTGATCCTCTATACAAGACACATAGGAGACAGCTGTCGTTGATATCCAGCGAAGCATACGTCTCTCCTTTGGGAAAGCTCCCTCCTCCAACGCAATCAAAAACAAAAACCTTCTTCTCCAAATCAATGGCTGCAGTGGCAAAGCACATCTTACTGGCCGTAATCTCATCATTAAGATCAACGCAATGCTCCAGCTTAACAGTGACAGGTTTAGACAGCTGCTCGGGTAGCGAAATATCGTAAATAGCACTAACAATAGTATAGCCATCAGGTAGGACAAAGGGACCTGAGAATATAGTGCGGACATTAATGGAGGATTCCTCTTCAGTGGCAACTGGTATAATCATCTTATAGCCGCAGTCTGTGTTTTCAAGTGTGGACGTCATTCCTCCTTCTATTGAGTGCTGC